TCGCTTTTCACCAATGCATCAGCCTACATTAATTACTGGGTGATTGCATAATTTTGTAGCGTGTAGAGATTATTAGTTGTAACTTAACATGCTAAAGAAATAAACCTGAAATTGCGGCTATCCCTAGCAAAACGTTTTTAAATAGCAGTACGCATTTTTGTAGGTTTAAGGACTTTTGAAATTATAATATTAAGTCGTTCGATAGTCGGACACCTGGAACACCAGTAGGTACTTTTAGATTAAGTAATTTGTAGGAATATTTGTTAGTTCAGTTTAATTTTTATGGACAGTAATATCGTACCTCGTGAAGGTAAACGTTCGTCGGTTATTTTTTTATAACGAAAATTAAATCAACTAACAAATATTCGCGCTAAATTTAACTCATAATATATTAATATTATTATATATTAAAATTCAAAATAAGTCTGGTATAGTCTATTATAATGAAAAAGAAATTTGGCATTCAATGCTACTATAGATTTTGTTTTTTTTCAAACTTAACGTAAAATATGCAAATTTTGGAGCCGTTATTAATAAAATCAAAGAAACGTCACTGATAAATATGTTTGTTTACATTTAAATCCATAATTTGAAACTGTAGGTATGTTTTGGAAAATATATAACCAATAAAAAAAAATGTTCCCGCGAATATTTTAAATTACGTAGAATTCTATCAACAGAATTTATATTCCAAGAAGCCATAAATTAAAATAAGTAAATTACAATTAATAGAAACAAGAGAGATGTTGTTAGATATTATTCCTTTAGTATCTTTTAATAAAGGCCCAGATTAAGTAATAGTTACTTATCGGAAACAAAAACATCTATAGAAATGCATGGGAGAAAGAGAACCAATAAAAAATTAGAGAAGGTCAGTTAAAGGTTCTGATATATACCCGGACTTCTTACAGCTTTGAATTATTATTTTTGATCTCATCTTAATCAAAAATTGAAGCTGATTGATGACCTGACCCTGATGTAATAGTACTCAGCCTAAGTTACATTTTTTACCCACATCAATTAAACACAACATCTATTAACCGTGACTAGTTTTACAAAGCACTAGTAACATCAGGAATATAATTTTATATGTGATTAAATCTCTACAATTAGGTTTTTTTTTCAAAATATTGTATTTGATTATCTATACAAATAAATAAAATTGAAGTGTCTGTTTGTAATGTCAAAATTAAAGTTTTTTACTAAATGCATATGAAAGTAAATACGGTTGTACTTATAACTAAATACAATTTTTAAAATTTTTGTCTGTCTGTTTGTTCCGGGTAATCTCCGAAACGGGTGGACCGATTTTGTTGGGACTTTCACTGGCAGATAGCTGATTTCATAAGGAGTAACTTAGGCTACTTTTATTTTAGAAAAAGTATTGTGGTTACGTCCAAAAACATAAAAACTCTATCACGCGAGCGAAGTCGCGGGGAACAGCTAGTATATGTATAAAAAAATGTTGTGCCCACTGTTTTTTTTAAATTTGCCATCACTGAACTTAATAACGGCTCTACATTGCAACAATTTTTCTAGAGAGAAACATGTTATTTGGTAGTTTGTCATAAAAATATTGTACAAAAAAACGACAATTTATTTTCCATAGTATTAAGTCTTTTCAATTTTCTCTATACATTAGTAATAACTACAATAAAAATTGAATTTAATCAAAGAAATTTAATGTAGATTAGCATCGGCAGAATATAATAGAGATATTATATTTATTTTCGTTATGGAGGACAGATTCAGATACTTCCAGAGGAATGTATATAGATTAAGAGCAGAGCCCGGATAGCTAGGCGAAGTTTGAGACCCGCATCAGTTTCAATGTTAACATTCGAGATTGTTTCTCAACAAATTTTATTCCCTAATAAAATTATAATAATTATAAGAATGGCGTTTTATTTATATTTCTAAAAATTAAATCAATTTCTGGCAATGTCATCTGCCGAAACACTTTATATTATGTTCTTGTTATGTTGATTAATTACAATTACCTACTTTAGAGTTATCAGGCTGTTAAGCAACCAGTCTATTCCCTGATCAAAATAGAAATGAGATATAGTGACTAGGTATGGTCGAAGTGAATGGGTGCACTTATTATTGAAGAATGGGACGGGTCAAAAATAATAGCAGTCATATCTTACCGATAGTGAGTGAATTAACACTCACTGTTCGATTCCCAGACATAATAGTAAGACAATTGCAACAAAATATATATATAGTACACAGGACAGCGAATGCGTTAATAAAATTGTGACAAAGAAAGCCTAGAATGTATTACTATTATTAGCATCGTAACTTTTATTTTTGTATAGAATAAGGGTGACAAGCGAGCACACAGCCCACCTGATGGTAAGTGAATGCTGTGGCCCATAGACATCTACATCTATCCTCGATTAAGAATCAAATTATAAATGCATTGTCACCCCCGAGGACTAAGATGGAATTCCTCACATCCCGTAAAAAGGATCTCAGGTTCTCTACACTCACCATACGAAACACATCAGTTTGAGTTGCAATTTTATGCTGATATTCTGTGAGAGCGTGGTGCTTCCGCCGACCTCCTTCGAGCCGATCCATATCGCGTGCTACAACTATGATACAGCTGTAGCATGCTCTACCACAAACGAACGAAACGAAACGAAGGTCGTCATTGGCGCGCGCACCAGCCACGCGATATGGATACCGCCTTGGAGCGCTCGTCAAATTGTTCGTTGGAGCGCTCGAACGTGGCGCGGGCCGCTCCATCTGTTGTCGGTTTTTTACCGCACATCAAAGTAGTGTAAGTATTGGCGCGTGCGCCAGTTGAGACGTTTGTTTTCATTATTTGTGTGCGTTTTGAGCTATGGATAACCAAAGTTGCCGTAAATTAATACAATTATATATGTTGTTTAAAAGATCTGCTGTGGAATAGCAAAAGTAGTTTTTACCATAATCAAGCACTCAAAGAAGATGCATAGGACTATGAAAGCGGCAGCTGTATGCGACTATGAGCGGTTGCCCCGCGCACCAGGAGCGCTTAGTTGATACCATGATATTTGCTTCATGCTTGATACACTTCGAATATTTGGAGCGCTTTCCACGGAGCGGTTATTCAAGGCGCGCGCGCCAGGAGCACGTAATCGATAAGCGGCTTAAACTGTTTATTAACCCAAAACATTATCTATACATATAATCAATCTATAGAAAGGTTTATGTGTTAACGTCAACTGCAATGATAGGAAAATATGCTATGTTCTGCACCTTTTGTATTGTGATGTTTATGTGTTAATGTTTTTTTTTTTTAATTAAATAGGTTCAAGGGTTTGTTCCATATAAATTTGGCGAAAAATTCCAGCGCTTAGGGTGAAAAAATAGGGAATGAAGTTGTTAATGTAACACAAATAAGTTTGCATGTTACTATTTATTCCATATTTGCGCTTGTGATATTCCTTGATACACTTTAAGAGCCAAAAAACTTGATAAAAGGTATGTAACAACTGCCTTTAAAGAACTAAAAATACTAAAATAATTTTCACATAGGTAATAACTACTGAAGTTAGGGCTGTAATATTTCTATACATCTAAGCTTCACATCATAATACATAAACACTCACGCCTGTTACCCAGAGGGGTAGGCAGAGACTACGGACTTCCATTTGGCGCGATCCTGACACACCTCTCTCGCCTCTTTTACATCCATATATCTACGCATACACGCTCGTCAGTTAAGGGTACTCCTAATCTGGCCCATTTTTAATGTGTCGCCGATTTGGTCGATAAACCTTCGTCTAGGGCGTCCCTTCCCGACCCTTGCCGTTCACTTCTGCAACATAAATTTGCTTTGTCACTGTTTCCTCGTTCATTCTTTCTACATGACCAAACCACCGAAGCATTCCTTTCTTAATCCTTGTTACAACGTCATCTTGCAAACCACACTTTTCTCTTATCACACTATTTCTCACCCTGTCATTCAGATTCAGCCCTAGCATACTCCTTAAGGAACGCTTCACATCAACCTCTGAAAATTATTTTTTCCTCTCATTGATTTTTTTATTCTTTGAAGTCCATTTACTTTTCATTATGAGTCTAATTTCTATATTTGTAATTGTTACTTTGTTATGATTCAATAAATTTATACCTGTATATGGTTATTAAGAAGATTTTTTTTAATAGAATAATATAATGTCAACCCGACCCGAAGTTCAGACACGTCGGCCAGCCAAAAAAAAAGTTATTTTATTTTGGCCCGAACTGTGATTCGAACCGCACTTTTTACAACCACTAGGCCAGTCAACATAATATATAACATTTTAATTGAAGTAAGGTATTAAATCTAGCATACAATAACAACACAATAACAATGTCCTCCAGACTGAATTTCGGTCACTGCAAGCCAGTCTCAATGAAGTATAGCCATCTGGTGCAGGACAGGATTATAGTGCCCAAGTATAGATGTAAACGTAGGTCCGGTGTATTCCCTCACTCTTATATTCCCATGGGATTTATACCAACAAATGTTAAGAGATCGGGCGCAGAACTAATGGCTTTATATGCTTTCCGAGGCTCAAGAGTGAAACATCGCCCAATTTCCAGACTCCAGGCAGCAACTTAAAACTTATCAACAGAAAAACTAAATAAGTATTTTTTTTGGTTTTTTCTTTTGAATCCCAATTCGGACCTGAGATCTCATAATCAGCAGACATGTTTACAAATATTAGACCGGTCAACATGGTATATATATTTTTAGTAGAAGTTAGGTTTATAAGCTAGCATACAGTCCACCAATGGTAAAACAATGCTGTGGTGTTATTCTTCATTCTATTTCTGTAGTAAGCAGTTTGCAAAAATAACTTTTTTAAAGTATGTAATAAGAAATTTAGTTTTATATATTACAAATATAAAGGCATGTCTTAGGTGAAAGTAAAATAGTATTTCATAACTTCGCTTATGATAAACTTTAATTATCAAATAAAAATACAATAAAAAAGCTAATTAACATATTAAATATCACATTATTCATCCTCGACCATTTCGACGTCTTCCACATCTTCTTTCTTCTTTCCAGCGCCAGATTTTCGTGCTGCAACGGCTTGTTTGTAGTGTTCCAATGCTTCGGTCAAAGGTTCTACAAACCTGTCGAATTCAATGTCTTTCATAGCTTCTAGAACATCTTGTCCCGTTAATGCTTTTCTTTTATTATTTTTTACAATGTTTGTAGCTGCTGAAGTTACATATAAGACAAAAACTGAAGCAGCTTTTGCTAAACCGGTACGTGCTTCTTTGGAAATAGCAACACCCTCTGGAAGTGATTCTTTCACAATTCGTGTGACAACAGTCATGGGCAAATTTAGGTCTTCAAGTTTTTCAGCCATTATTACGTATTTTAGATATACACTTTAACTAACCATAACAAAAAAGCTTCCATACGTCGAAAAATGAAATTAACCCGCCAAGAACCAACGTTTCCATTAATTTGTGTCAACTGTCAACCACAGAGTACATTATATATAGGGAAGTGTCAACTGTGTCAAGCTGTTAAGTGTCAATTGTCATTGTCATTTGTCAATGTCAGTTTTCACCTGATCTTATTTTGTACTAGCTGTTCCCCGCGACTTCGTTCGCGTGTTAGGGTTTTTATGTTTCTGCGCGGAACCCTGATTCTTTTTCTAAAATAAAAGTAGCCTATGTTACTCCTTATGAAATCAGCTATCTGCCAGTGAAAGTCCCGTCAAAATCGGTCCAGCCGTTTCGGAGATTACCCGGAACAAACAGACAGACAGACAGACAGACAGACAGACAGACAAAAATTTTAAATATTGTATTTTAGTTATAGGTATCGTATTTACTTTCATATGCATTTAGTAAAAAGCTGTAATTTTGACATTACAAACAGACACTTCAATTTTATTTATTTGTATAGACTACATAAGGAAAGCGCGGGAACCTTGAAACGTGATAGGCGCCTTTTTTTAAACTAAAATTTTAATTTTGTTTTATTTAGTTCAAAGCATAGATTTAGTATATACTAAGATTGGCAATGTAAAAGAGAAAGGGCATAGCATATGCTTACGTTAGAACGAGATAGAATGGCTAGACCATACACGTACACACTATCAGCCTGTATCAGCCGGACGTCAGTGGTGAACAAAACAAATCCCGCTTATTTTCGCGATATTTTTGATTTTAAAGTATTAATAAGTATTTAAAAGGTGTGATTAAGTATGGTGACGTGTGCCGTACCTGAATGCAGTTCATCCAGAAAAGTAAATCCACAAAATTATACATTTCACATGTAAGTACAATTAAAATGTTTAGCACTCTAACTTCACTATTTCACAACTATAACAAATGTTTTATACACAAATGGACAGAGAAAAATATCGCATTTTATTACGATAATAATCTAAATGCGTGAGAACTATATTAAAAATAATAAGAAATACGTGAATTCCCGCTATTTCTGATCAAATTTTTGTAGGGATTGACACTATCAATATCGTCTTATCGATAATATGTTTATAACAGGCAAAGGCATATCCTTGGATACAGCCTTTTGTGACTTCGTATTTTTTTTTAATTTTTAGTTTTTCGTAAAAGTAAATATTTACACATTATAGTAATACTTTAATGAGATGATTTATATTGTTTCAGATTTCCAAAAAATAATGAGGTTAAACAAAAATGGTTAAAAATGTTAAATAGAGAAGGATGGGTTCCCAAAAAAAATTCAACTATATGTAGCAAGCACTTTGAACAAAAATGTTTTTCTCATAGAAGTGCACAAAGAGTAAAGCTGCGTTCTGGATCAATACCTACATTATTTATGCCCGTGCGTAGTTTTTTAATTACTTATATATTTTACTGTACATATCTTAATTTCGTTTGCGCATGTTTAAATGTGTACAACTTGTTGTTGTCATTCTCGTTATGTATATTTTTTTATAAAATGAAAGTAATAAAGAAACTTACAGCATCACTTGATGGTAAACGGCTACTGCAGTACATGGACACCTGCAGTCATCTTCAAATAAAGAAAGCTACAAATGTGTTTTTACCCCTGAGGGTCTTACAGCCGAAAATTATACAGGCTCTCTATACTCAACTGGCCGAAACGCAGCAGTGTAAGCACTGCTGTTTAGCGGTAGTATAAGCTCTGCTATTTAGCGACAGAAATAGGTAAAAGGATGGTACTTTATTTTATTAATTTTAATCATAGATAAGTACATAATGTATGCACTAATTTTATTTGTTTGTTTGTAGGTTGTATTGAAACCGATACGCAAAGCATCCTCATATATCTACAGAGATATATTACCAGTACCCAGTAGTTCAACTGCAAACATTTCTGCTATAGACAATTCCCCGAGAAAGATAAAAATGAAAAAGACTATTGATATTCTTCGGAGAAGATTAGATATAAAACAAAAAAAACTGAAAAATGTAAGAGCACAAAAAAAACGGGCTGATGAAAAAGTGGGAAAGTTGTCTCAAGTGATAAAAAACTTAGAAAGGCTTCCCTCACTTCAAAATAACATTAGTGCTGTAATGGCATCTGGTCCAAATGATTTGTTGCAGCATCTCATCGAAAGAGTGATTAAGAAAAAACAAAATAAAAATATTAAACAAGAGTATGATACACAACTAAAGACATTTGCCCTAACTTTACACTTTTATAGTCCTCGGGCTTACAATTACATGAGAACTAAATTTGACCTGTGCCTACCACATCCTCGAACACTACGAGGCTGGTACCAAAATGTAGGTTGTAAGCCAGGTATCACCAAGGAAGCCATAGAAACCATAAAGGCTGTAAGTAAAGAAAAAAAAGATTTGGTCATCGCCCTTACGTTCGACGAAATGTCTATCCGTGAACACATTGAATTTGACGGTCGTAATCATCATGGCTATGTAGATGTGGGTAATGGTATTCATGGAGATCAAGTAGACAAGGCTAAAGAGGTATTAGTAATAATGGCAGTGGCAATTAATTCTTTTTGGAAAATTCCAATTGCTTATTTTTTTGGAAGAGGATTTACTGCTTTACAGAAAGCAACACTTCTAAAGCAGTGTATTGCTTCACTGTCAGATTTTGTAAAAGTTGCTTCTGTTACTTTTGATGGCATAGCATCTAATATAAATATGGCACAAATACTAGGAGCTAATTTGAGCACCGCTCCATTTAGACCATACTTTTACTATAGAGGGCAAAAATATTACGTAATATTAGATGCGTGTCATTTATTAAAGTTGATAAGAAATACTTTTGCAGAATACAAAAATTTTTATCATCATAATGATATTATTAAATATGAATTTGTTGAAAATCTCTGCCAGCTTCAACATGATGCCGGTTTGCATTTGGCAAATAAGGTAACTAAAAAACATGTCAATTTTGTAAATCACAAAATGAATGTACGATTAGCGGCGCAACTGTTGAGTAATTCTGTTGCAACCAGCTTAGAGTTTTGCAAAGAAGTATTAAAATTACCTATGTTTGAAAATTGCCAAGCGACAGCAGGTTTTATAAAACATATAAACAGCATATTTGACATTTTCAACTCCAGAAATTTACTCAGCTACGGATTTTAAATGCCTTAAATGCAAATAATGTTGAAAATGTTGTAGCTGAATGTGACAAAGTGTGTGAATTTATTAAAAATTTAAAATACAACAACCAAGCTTTGATAGAGAGTCGAAGAAAACTTGGTTTTATCGGTTTTTTGGCGAATACGATAGCTTTGAAGTGGCTATATGTCGATTTCATAGAGTCAGGAAAATTAAAGTTTCTTCCGACCTATAAACTCTCCCAAGATCATATAGAATTTTTTTTTAGTGCAGTACGTTTTAGAGGAGGATTTAACAACAATCCAACAGCCAGACAATTCACAGCAGCATACAAACGATTAATCTGCCACGTGGAAGTACAAATCAGCGATAAAGCCAATTGTTTGCCTTTGGAGAATATTAGTATGCTCAACATACAAAAATCGTGTACTATAGATATAATAAATACTACAACTGGCCTTAGTGCTATGACGATGCCAAACGACGATGCGGCTATTGGCCCAGGCCAAATAGATAATGAAGATTCTGATTTCGTATCATCTATGCCATGGATACCTGAAGGCATGGAATCTGTAGTTAAGTCCATTGTTCAGTACATATGTGGTTACGTGGTAAAAAAATCGCAAATAAAATTAAATGCGAATCCTGTGTAAATGTACTTTACGGTGAAGTTAAGGAAGGTTCACTAATAAACATGAAAGACGTAGGTGGCCTCGTGTATCCCTCTCAAGACGTTTATGAGATAGGTGTCTTTTCTGAACGAGTTTTTCGAAAACACGTGAAAGGAAAAATTGTAAACGAAAATATATTTAAAAAATTAGTAAACGAATGCCTTGTGTCCTGCAAACATTTTTTTAACACACTTGACATACATATGTACGATTCGCCAGCATTATCAAACCATAAACACTTAATTATTAAATCAATAATTGAAACTTATTTGGTTATCAGATTAAAGTATGAAGCAAAATTGCAAAATACCTCCAAGGAGAGCTTACGACATTTATACAATAAGTTAGTTATTTTTGGTGGAAAATAAAAATCACAAACTTTTTGTTTGTAGTTTTATTTTTATGCCCTCAAACATAATATTCATTTTATGACACAGACACAGCTTTCTGTATCGATAATTAAAGTTGATACATGGCGCAGCACTACTGTTGTCGCACACATGCACATTTCACTCACACGGCTACATTTCGTTTTTGGTCTCACCCTAATCACGCCATTGCCAATCTAATGAATACTATATCTATGGTTCAAAGGCACTAAACTTTTATTGTTTATTGTTACTGGGTTTCCCCATCATGGGGAAACGTAGAAAAAAAAAGTTGCCGGGAGAAGAAGAAGTGTTTGAAGAAACGACTGAGGAGGAAGAAATTGATACCAGCACTAAGGAAGATCCTGAGAAAGAGCAGCGCAAGTATAAGCCGTATTTTGTATCAGACTACAACAGGAGGTACCTGAGGACTCTATTCTCGTTGATTTTGTTGTATTTGTCGAATCAAATGATGAAAAAAGGCCAATCGGCACGCGGGGACATGATGTCTCTATCCACACATATGAAGAGGTTCAATAAAGGCATTAAATATTTGCAATCTATGAATAAATACAAAATAGGCGTTCATTTTGAAAAGCCCTCTCTAGCGAATGCATTTTTAAATAATATTACTTTTCTTAATGAATACAAAATGAAGGCATCTATCCCAGCTGTAGGGACAGAAATAACAGGAGTTATAACCAATGTTCCCACTAATCTTTCTAATTCAAGAATTTTTGGTATGTTAACGACTTATAGAAAGATAAT